TAGTTTAAAAACGCACTTCAGAGATTGCAGTGTTTGAAGATGTAGTTTCTCAGGAGGCAACAGTACTGTTGACTTCTCCCTCCACTGGACACCAACTATTTAAATTGATTTGCATACAACATGATAGCTATTCATAAAGGGTGTTTTTTTTACTTTTCATATAATACAGTAGTCACACAATGAGGCAGTTCATATTTGTTTCAGTGAATCATTCATTTTTGACAGACACCTGTACAAAATACTTGAACTAAAGCCAGCTAAATTTTTCTGTTATCTTGCACGTTTTATGAATCTATTCACATCTAAATGCAGCACTTTTTTTTGCAATGAGACATTTGTTTTTATTCTAAATATCTCAATTACTTTCAATAAAGCTGGAAATTATGTTCCTTAAAATAATTAAACAAATAAGGCACCAATGTTTTTGTAAGATATTTACATTTTTTAAGGACATTCGGTAGACTGATTCCCCACTGTTGGTTCAACCCAAAAACTTGTTTGTATTCAAAATTAATTATGACAATGCATATTTATATTGAAACAAACTAAGATAAAGGGAATTATATTATATAACAAAGGGCAAGGTCACCAGAGTTCAACTATGTTTCAAAATAAACTTGGTCAATACAAAATAAATGAACAGTAATTTATAGTAGAGAAAAGCGATGCGATGAACTATCAGCAATGAGTAAGTGCATCTGGTCATTTGACCGGATGTGTACACGCGATGTTTATTTGCGGGATTAAGCTAATTACAAATGTTATTGTTTTGGCTCAGAGGAGCTTAGCCGTAGTCCACATTCCATGGATTTCCGTTGCTTGTAAATTATTTTTTTATTTTTTAAAAAGCTGTTTTTTCTTGAAATAAAAACGTGATGCAATAAAAAAAAACAAGGTCATATGGTCGTACAAGTCATCGTTTAATAAAATAAAATGAAGAAAAAAATGTCCACGAAAGTCTACTACATCCTTAAATAGAGATTTAACACGAAATAGAAGAGGGCGCACACTCCTCAGTTAATTGGCTTACATGTGCTTCTATTAGAGATGCTCTTCTAAAAGAGCAAATACAATAACTGTTTTATTTGGAATAAATAGTAACAACAGAAATGGTATTTTAGTAGAAATATGGGTATAGATTTTTGCCACCATCCAGGTATAAAAATGGTCAGACTTTTGAGCACTCAGAGGCACCTCCCAACCCAGCTATATATCAACCCCCCCCCCCCCCCCCCGGATCGTCTCTCTGTATTATACTATATTATAGTATTTATTAAGCTTCAGACATATGATGTACTCAGAGCTATACTAATACTAGTCACTGAGTTGCGTTATGTCTATGGTAATGGGTCTTATGTAGATTGATTGGACCATGGAACTATAAACCCTAGTTCCATGATTGGACTATGCAATGTTAGTACCCCGAAGTTTGAATCAGTCATTATTTTTAGACACTATCGGTAAATATATACTAGTATTTGTGGGACTTACATTTCACATCAATAGTGTCAATGAACAGTATGTTGAAAAGATCCAATTCATGTGCAACCTAATTTTTTTGTTTTCTTGTTTCTGCTTTATTTATGTAGGAGAAATGGTGTTGAGAGTTTACACGGTGAGTGAGTGTATTTGCTACGTGCTTATCGGTATTTCAATTTTGTCAGAAAAGTCAATGTGAAATAACATACAATGTTAATTCTGGTTATATTGTAGATATTCAACTCTGAATGCTTTGATGGTATTCAACAATAATTTTTTTCTATTGAATTTTTGGATATGCTCATGAACGCACATGTCAACTTTTCACCACCAGTTCCCTCTTTTCATCACAAATTCATAAAGTAGTTTTGTTTATAGTCTAAACTTTTCTTCAGAATATTGTGACAAAAATTATCAAATTGTTTGAGTAAAAACTGAAAATTAACTTAAATTTTGTCTGTTGGCTCCAAAATTAGGGTTAATTTCCAGAAATATAAGAAAAAAGTGCAGACAAATTTGGGCGAGAAAGTCTTGTGATGAAAAATTTAAACAATGTGTTTAAATTTAAAGAGGGGATACCTACATCAGCCAATCTATGGTCTTCTAAAACTTCAACCAATCACAGGATTGTGCTGTTTTTGTGTCGCCAAAATTTTGTCTGCCTGATATTTTTCTTGGAATTGTGTTTTGAATTTTATTTAGGCTTTATGTTTATGTTTGAAATTTCTCAAAATTATGTAGCAAACACTAGAGCTTGTAATTTCAAATTTCACCAGCCCTGCCAGAAAGTTACCATACCAAAATGGTTAACCATATGTAGCTTACTGTCACTGCCATATTGTTCCAAACACCAAAAACGAAAAGGCAACATAATGCCAGTTGCTGACTAGTTTGCGTCTCAAGATTGTTACATGATTGGAACTGGTTAGTAAAAACCAGTTTTACGCGAGTGTGTGGTTCGACTAAATGCACAAATTTACAACCAATTATGTCCTGACATTTCATACTGTGTCATTACTTACATTTTGTTTGGATAACTTTGCCATTTATTATATAGAAATTTATACTATTCAATAAATTGAAAGATAATTGCATTGTGATCTTCTATTTATATTCAACGTGTCAAATTCACCCACTATTAGTTTAACGACGACTCCTGAGGTTTGTTTGACCCAATTTGTTCTCATTGCGTAACATTCTCCAGGCACACATAGCAAAGCAGTCAGCAACTTAGCTGGCAATGTTGCTGTTTGTAACAATATGGCAGTGACAGTGAATATATAGCACCAATACAAGCTGAGTTCTGTTATGCTTGAAGGAAATCATATCCAATAATATTTTTAGTCCCCGTTCGGATGAAGTCCGAAAACGGGGACTTATGTTTTGACCTCCGTGTGTGTCTGCGTGCGTGCGTGTGTGTGCGTGCGTCTGTGCGTGCGTCCGGACCTGTATCTTAGAAATGCCTGGACCAATCACAATCAAACTTCACACATACATCATACATGATATCATACATATGCACGTCAATTTGTTTCACAATCTGATTCAAGATGTCGGAATGGCGGCCATTTTTGTACTAAAAATCATCAAAATCAAGCATTTCCCGGCTGTTTACAGATGGATTTTGTTCAAACCTTGTATATACGTTGGACATTATAGGACCTTGGTGAACATCATTTTGTTTTACGATCTGATTCAAGATGGCCGAATGGCGGCCATTTTTGTGCTAAAATATCCTAAAAATCAAGCATTTCTCGGCTGTTTACAGATGGATTTTGTTCAAACTTGATATATACATTAAACATTATGCGACCTTGATGCAAATAATTTTGTTTTTCAGATAATGAATGGGCTTCTAGACCCATATTTCCAACTTGTTTTGACTGATTATGTTCAAATTTTAAATATTCATTATACATCATGTCATAGATAGACAGATATATTGGTTTGACGATCCTATTCAAAATGGCCGAATGGTTGTCATTTTTGTGCTAAAAAATCATCAAATATCAAGCATTTCTGGCATTTCTAGATGGATTTCGTTCAAACTTGGTACATACATTAGACATTACGGGTTCCTGATGCACGTCATTTTATTTTTTAGATCGGATTCTGAATGGCTGACTCGTGGCCATTTTGTTTTAATGAATGGGCTTTTAGAGCCATATCTCTGACATGCTTTGACTG